AAAGCAAGTGTCTAGTTTTAGGCCACATGTAGCTTACTTTCCAAGGTTAATATTCATTTATTGGTTTCTTATGACCTGGACGCAGCTTTGTAATATACATAAGACCTTCATAAAGGAAATAGTAACCTAATTTTTCCATATTTTTGTATGTGAATAAATGATGCTGTCATAGCATTTTAGAAAAACAATCCATATTCAGAGAAGAGGGATCACAGAGGGGAAGTAGTTGGATAAAAGTTTTAAAGTAGAGCATAAGTTTTAAATATAGGCAGTTTATTTTATTTTAACATTTGTAACCTGTACCTCCCTGCGTCCAGCAAAACATGCAAAATAATAGGAATTAAAAATAAATACTGGCAATATAAAACAGTGCATTAAAAAACAGAGCAAGAATTTAACACACAATCTGAAGAATGTTAAAATAAAATTTGTAGAAAAGACAAAGCCTTGAAGCATAGGTGGAGTACAAAGAAGGAGATAGTTTTTGGGGGTTGAAAGTTCTAAAAATAAGTCTTGATGTCTGATGCCACCAAACACTCTCCAGAAAGCAAAGATATGCACAGGAATGTCACAATAATTAACCTTAAAAGTTGGTAGGCTTATGTGTGGCTTACAAGTAACTTGTCTTGTTCCAAACCATTAAGGCCTTGAAAGTAATAACTAACATCTTGGGGTTCTCTTAAAAACATAACAGGCAGCAGCAAGTACCTTTGGTGCTATAAATATTCCAGAAGAAATATTGATATCTCCCACTAAAAGGATCCATCTTAGAAAGTCTCATCTAGTTGGTAATAGACAGTAGTAGAAAAACCTCTTTTGTTTGCATGTGCAAGATCTGAATGTGTAAGACAAGGAAATGAATCTGATAACAAAAATTCCTGGGAAGAAATAAGAGGTCAGTGATAAAGACTGATTACATAAACTCTAGCATTTATTTGAATGATGTGGTTGGTTTACTTGAATGAGGAGTTTTGCAGTTACTATTGCTAATATTTTACCAGTAAATATTTACTTCTATGCAATTTATTTAGCATAATATAAATATGAGCCCATAAGGAAAATGTGGCAGGCAAATGCTATTATATTTGCATACTGCCTCTGTGATAAACCGACACCAATAACGGAGAGGGTAAAAATAACAAACAAATCTAAGATTAGGTAAGAAAAAATAAAGCATGCAGAAATAACATTGCACTTTCATATTTTCACTTCCTCCTTCATTGGTGGACACTTAGCTTTTGGACTGATCTTTAACAGAACAAAAGATGGGTACTGTTGTACTGTTGTTGAAGTCTCAACCTGAGAGAATATTTTAATATCAAGCCACACACTGTATTTATGAAAGTAGTCATTTGAGTTTTATTTATGGTTTGTTTGTTAAATCTATATTCTGTCTTTCATTAGGAGCTCTTAGCAGCATACATAGCATTCCATCCACCAGTTTTTCCCCACAACAACCCTGTGAGGTAAATTGGGCTGAGAGAGAGTGGCTGGCCTGACATCAACGAGTAAACATCTGGAGTTGAGGGTAGACTTGAACCTGGGTCTCCTTGGAGCCAGTCCAGCACTATATCCAATCAGCACATTGGGTTTCTTGAAACACTTTCTCCTGTTTGGCTTGGAGGTACTTAACCCTTTATTATCATCTTCATGGTTGAGAATGGAAAAAAACAGGTCACCTGTAAAACAATGAAGATGGTAAATTTTGGGCCCTTGTTTTAAGGAAATCAAAGATAGAAAACACTTCCAGCATGGGTGATATAACAATGCTAATTATCCAGTCTTAAGATAGTAATATAGCTTTGCATTAGTATTTGGGTGGGAAAAGTTCTCTGTTTTGATATATTCTGGATCTTATTTGTTTCTTCCTGCCACTAATTTGCTTCTGATATAGTCACATATACTACTGTTTTATCACTGTTCTAAAGATTACTTGCTCTGAAAAAATATGTTTGTTTCAAGTCATGTTTTAAGTACTCAGAATAGGACATGTAATCAGCCATTGCTCAATTTGAAATGAGACCTTTTTAGGCACAATGGAAAATACATAGAGTCTTTGACTATGGCAAGCAAATCAAGATTTGCTTTTTAGCAGTTGATGCATCACCAAGTTGAAATTCTGTTTTATTGTTTGCATCCATATCTTTGTGCACGGTGGTATTTTTCTAGACTGGATGACTGATGAAAGCCCATCTCATCTCAGTGTTCTTCATGATTAAAAGTAGAATTCTCATAATTGTTTGGTTGCTTGAGATAAATGGGAAATATTTTGGTGGCTTTGGAATAAAGGTGATAAGAAATTAAATCTCCATGTATTGTTATTAAAGTCTTTATCTTAGTTAGGGACAGAGTTATCTTCATCTACCATCTTTTTCATCCTCTTTACTTTTCTTCCAACTTCAACCTATCAAGTCCCTTCCACAGCTTTTGCTTTTCTGCCATCTACTGTGACAAAGTTTAAAATCGCAAGCTTACCTTCATACATATTCACCTTCACAGCATTCACCTACACATACATAAACAGTCCCACATCCTTTTGTGCTGCACAAAATAGTCATTTCAGCCTTAGAATCTATTAAGCACTACTCTGTTCCCTAGTACTAGCATTTCCCCACAAATACAAAGAATGAACCCTCCTTCTGCCACTGCTATTGCTGTTAGCTTTTCTGGGAAGAGGAAGAGTGTCTGTGTCTGTGCTTGGAGATATATTCTAGATTTTTAGGCCCTTTCCTTCCTCACATCACTTATTACAGTATTACATATACAAAAAGCATACATTTCTTCTTTTGGCACTCCTGCCTGTGAATATCTTTCTCCTAGCAATTCTGTTTTCCTGTAGTGTTATTTTGCCCTCTTGGAACAAGGGGTAGGAATGGAAAGGAAAGGAGAAACTCTTGCAGAGCAGATCGCATTTGGTGGCTCTCAGTTTGCACATCTTCCAGTTGTCCCAGCAACAAAACAGTCTCTCCTACTGGGCTTTCCAGCTGTGCAAGTAGCGCTTCTCAGAAGGCCAGTGAGAGGAGAGGGTGTGTGTGCTTTTCTTATCAAACAGGT